TCCAGAATTCCCCAGCCCGCATTCGCTGGCTGGGGAATTCTGGAAGTTGAAGTCCAGACATCTTCAAGTGGCCAAGGTTGAGAAACACTGACTTAAAGCAGTCAGTGTGAGCTTAAATGGACTCCAGAGGATGGTAGAGGACAGGAAGGCCTGAAGAAACATTGTCCATGGGGTTGTGATGGGTCAGACACGACTTCACAACTAACAACACACCATCACTCCTCCCTTGGTCTTCTTGAAAGCATCACAAAGCCCAAATGAATTATTCAATGCAGGGAGGGAAAGGGAAATGTTTTATAGAACAGCATAGAAGTAGCTCAACAGATGTAGCTCAGAAGCAAGCCCCATTCCATTGGGGGGGGGGGAGCTTGTTTTGACACCCAGAGGTACTGTAGCAAAGTACAAATGGACTCCCAATAGAGTTAAATCCAACAGGCCTGTAGCAAACCAGCCAAACCCTGGAATTGCTTTTTAAAGAGATCCCTAGAAAGTTTTAGCCCCTTGGAGGGAGCTGTTTGAGGAAACACGGAATTGAGAAACCCAAAGAGCCACCCTCCCCCAATCAAGCAAATCTTTTCTATGTACCCCGTAGTAAAACTAACCATTTCCAGCAGGAGCGCCCGCATCTTTTCGCAGCCAGTCACTCTTTTTCGCCTCTGGGGAATCCAATGCGCCAAACCATCCTCTTTCTAGCCCCACGTCCCGCCCTTCCAATCTTCGGAGAGGCCGCGGACACCCATCCGTCCCCGAATGGGGTGGCCAAAGATCCCCCTCAACGCTCAACCTTAAGAGCGCACCCCTCGTCCTTCCACCCGCGACCTTTTTTTACACGTTATTTCAGCTCCTCCGTTCGCGCCACGCCGCGCGTAAAAACTCACTCGCTCGCCCGCTTCTCCAGCGCGGCTTCACCCAGCAAAACACCTTCCCCCGCGACGCATCCATCCCACCCGCCAAGCTTCCCCGCGCGGAGGAAATCACAAAATCCCCCCCTTCCTTTCTTCCCAAAAAGTCCACGGGGAATTCCTCCGCCCGAACCCTCCCCCTCCTCCGTTTTCCGCCTCCCTCGACGCGGGCAGCGAGCGCAGAAGGGCGCGCGGTTGTAGCCCCGGCGCCGACTTACTTTGCTCCACGAGGGTCCGCGGGCTGCTCTCCGTCCTCATCTTGGGGCGCTCCGATGGCAGCGGGGCCGCGGCTGCGGCAGCCTCGGGTCGCATAGCTCGCTCACCCCCCCCCCCCTTTTCCTCCCTTTTGTTAGCCCTTCGCGGCTCCGAAGGACGCGCCTCTCCCTCCCGCTCCGGCTCTCGGCGAACTAGCCCTTCTTCGCTGGGCGCTCTGCGAGGATCCCGCTCCGCTTTCCGTCCCTCGCAGCTGCTTCCTTGCCCGGATTTCTCTCGTCTTTCGGCGGCTGTTTCCTCCCCGCGAGCATCGGCGCTTTGGCTCCCCGCCCCCAAGTCCCGAGCGTGCGGCGCGCTCTCGCTCCCTTTCAAAGCCTTAGGATGTTAATACCACCCTTTCTTTCCCCTCCGCCTCTTCCCTCCGAAGCCTTTTCTTCCCACCCCTCCCCGGCCTGACCCATCTTGACTCCCTTCCAGTGAGCTAATCTACTGCTGGCTGAAAAACAGGCCCTGTTTCTATGGAAACCCCGGATACGGGAGAATTTGGGGAGGGGGTGCTGTTGGCGCTTCGGAGTCCCTGAGGATGCACTGAAGAGAGGAAGCATCTCAATTCTGCTGGCTTTTGCTCTTTAAAAAAGAAAGAAAAAATCTGTAAAAAAAAAAACATTCTCCCTGATTTTGCTATCAAAGGAGGTGTGTTTATGGGATGTGCCTTGTGGGACTGAAAGCAGAAGAATTAAAATAGTACAACATGCTAAGTTAGCTTCACCACAGTTTGCTGAATAACTGGCTGGGTTCACACAACAAGCCTAGTCATAAATCATGTTTAGAGAAATCGCATTGGCCCAGTTCATCTAGCATTTTGGCTTAAGTGTGCTGAATCTGGTCCAAAGGAATGTCACACAATTGTACCCATACCTATTAACTGAGTTATTTTATTAAGGTGCTGTTTAACAGTGGTTTGTTGACAAAAGTACAATTAGCGGCTTTTACAAATCACACACAAACTAAAATTTATAAATTGGAACGACTGAGATCACATTTAAAAAAAAATCAAATAACACATTGTGTTATTTGAATGTCTTTGAGTCTAGTGCCTTTAGTGCTTCTAAGAATGGCAAACCATGGCTTGTCAGCAAGCACAATATGTTAACCAGTTACAACTAAGGCAACAAACCATAAATAAATCATAGTTTAAAAGAACATACGAACTCAGCTTAACTGCTAGAGATATATGCACATATAACATTACAACTCTACTCATGCTTTTTAACAAAGCTTATCAAGGTTAAATAGTTTCTCCTCAGATCATTTACTTTCAAACTAAGAGCAAATGCACTAAAGACAAATTCCCTGTGTGTTCAATCACACTTGGCCAATAATGAATCCTATTCTATTTAAAAAAAATGCTGTAGCCACCTGTACAAGGAAGTTTCAAAGTATTTTTTTCCAGTAACTATACATGACTGTAGTTTCTACCAAAAAAGAGCCATGCCTACTTTGGGGGAAGTGGATGAGAGGGAATGGGAGATTTTTCCTTGGATTCATGAGGCCCGGTTCTCTCTTTGCTCCCAAAAGTTTTTGAAGCTATTTCAGGGACCCTTCTCTTGATTTGTTTAGATTTGATGTGATGTTGTCATCTTTTTCTTCTCTTTGTAATGTGGAAGGCTTTTGTGTTTTTATTTCCGTATTTTACACTGTGTGGTTTTCTTTGTGAGTTGCCAAGACTTGTTTTGATTGTGGCTGCACAGAAATATGTTTAATAAATAAATAAAGAGCCCTACTGGTGATACAAGGAGGGAATTCGACTCATTCAAATTGTCTTGCAGAAAGCTTAATTTACCAGGTGGTATGTCTGAATTATCTTAGGGTCTTTTTGTTTTGTTTTCTATATGTTTGTGTCCGGTCCTTTTATAAACATTGCTTGAATGTTATCCTGTTGCAGTTGGCTATGGTGATGCAATGTTTAATAAAAAGAGATATAAATTTACCCAGTAATTGCATACATCCTATCAAAATATATGGGGTGGGGTGTTGATGGGTTTGAGTTAGTCTTTGACTTCTGACAACTGGTTCTGGCGACTGCCTGATCTAATTCTTGCAATTTTCTTGGCTATATTTGTGAGGTGACTTGCCTTCTTCCTAGGGCTGACAAAGTGACTGGCCCAAGGTCACCAGCTGACTTTATGCCTAAGGCAGAACTAGAACTCACCATCTCCCAATTTCTAACCTCATGCCTTAATTCTGATGTTTTAATCACTACACTAAACTGGCTCTCTGTGGGACATAAGCCCTTGATAAGTGATCATTCTAAAAAAGAAAATACTTTCCATAGTACACCAGAGGTGGTGTTCAGCAGGTTCCATAGTACATCAGAGCTGGTATTCAGCAAGTTCTTACCAGTTCTGGAGAACCGGTAGCAGAAATTTTGAGTAGTTTGTAGAACCAATAAATACCACCTCTGACTGGTCCCCACCCCCATCTATTCTCTGCCTCCTGAGTCCTATCTGATCGGGAGGAAATGGGGATTTTGCAGTAACCTTCCCCTGGAGTGGGGTGGGAATGGAGATTTTACCCCCTAGAGTGGGGTGGGAATTGTGATTTTATAGTATCCTTCCCCTGCCAGGCCCACCAAGCCACACCCACAGAACCGGTAGTAAAAAATCTTGAATCCCACTACTGATTTGCATCTACCTTCCTATTATATTTTTGAGTGGAGTAACTTTCTTGTTTTTCAGAGAACCGAGGATGGGATGTTTATGGTTCCCTCAATTTTCTTCACCATCATTGACTGTATTATTTTAGGCTATTGGTGTTTTAATTTAGAAATATTTGGAGAGGAATTTTCTGAACAAAGGAAATATCTCAAGCCACTTTTGCATTCTTAAATACAGGATTTTCACAGAGACACTTTCACATGGAAGCACCAATTTCAGTTCATTAGTTAATATAACAGGATTAGAATCTATGTAGAGCTGTCAATTTGCAGGTTTAAGATTTAACATATGAAGATGTCATTGACAGTATGTATATTTGTAATTCCTTTCCAGGTGACCTCATAGTTTTCTTTTCTAGACAAATTTGCGAGTGTACATGATGATGATGTTATCCATATGTCAAATAACATTTTGTGCATCTATGGAAATGGATTAAAAACTTTTTGCTTTCATAATTTCAAGGAAGCACAAGATTTACTGTTTCTCTTCTCTGTCACTTATTGTGGGAGTAAAGGAAGAGATCTGTCAATTGTAAATGTTTGTACAAATACATAAGCACATTTTTCACCCTCATTATCTCTAGCTATAATGTTTTAACCTTCACAGCTTTCTGTTTTAATTATCACAGTTTATTCATATAATCACCCATCTAAAGGGATGTGACCTAATCCCATCCAATTCACCCAGACTTAAAAAAAAATACATACAGATAGTCCTTGATTTACATCCAATCATTTAGTGACAACTCAAAGTTACAACTATGCTGGAAAAGTAATTTACAATCACTGCTCACACAATCATTGCAGCATCTTCATGGTCATGTGATCAAAATTCAGGTGCTTGACAAATGCCTTGTTTTATGATATTTGCAGCATCCCAGTCTGATGGCCTTTTGCAATCTTTTCCGCCACCTTCTGACAATCAAACTCAATGGGAGAAGCCGGATTTGCTTAATACCATGTGATTCACTTAACTCAGGGGTGTTAAACCCCCAGCCCAGGGGCCAAATGCATCATGCGCTGGTCATGCCCACTCCCAGTTTAGCAAAGGGGGAAAAGTCACAATACATCACATGATGACAATATGACAACCTGAGTTTGACACCTCTGACTTAACTGATATTGTTCACTTAACCATGGCAAAAAAATGTTATAAAACTTCTGGTTTTTTTTACATATTGCCTCTCAACTATCAGGGGACAACTAAGTAGAAATGCTGTTCCTTAAAAGTGGGAAATTCTGACCCAAAGGAACATTATAGGTTACTTCTATACAATGAGAGGAGCATAGGGTTGAACAATCTCCATGTAAATTCTATGACTGCCACCTACTGAGTAAGGAATAAATTACATAATTAAGGCCCATCTCTTCCTATTTGGGCTGACCAAACGGCCTCTTTCTCAAGAAAAATTGAAAATTATTTTATTCCTGTGGCATAGAATACCCAACAACCTCAGTCACCAAAGTCCAGAAGGGCCTCCCTTGCGTGCAGGTGATAAAAAAAATACACTAGTAATGTTAAACAAACATTTATTGCATGGTTCTACAATCTTTTTCCAAGCATGTTAGGCAATAGGATTCAACCGGTGTAACAACTGGTTTGTTGAGAGTGCGCACAGTTCATTTCAAAACAGCTCTAAAACTTACCTTCGGTGAGTAAAACAGCTCGGGTGTGGCAATCTGCTCTGCCACGCCTATCAGCTGGGCTTCAAACAAAGGAAATTTAGCACAGTCTAGCACAGTTGCGGGTGTTTGATTGTGGCTCTCCTGTTTTTGGAACATGATCACATTTCTTCATCATTAGGGGATTTTTAAGCTCAGCCTGACAACATTTCAGATAT